TCTCTGCTGGGGAAAGAGCCAGCCACCAGGACCACTAGAGGTTGGGTCAGTGAACGTCGACAGTGGTTCAGTGAAAGACTCGAACCACCGACCTACCTCTGCTATCAGCTGTTTCTGGATTTTGAGTTGCTCGTTCAGCTCGTCCTGCCTCTCTTCGAAGGAGATGCGGCAGCAGCGTTGGCTGTTTCGGATTCGGACACCCCAGTAGTTTATCTCCTCCAGGAAGTTGCGTGGACACAGTTCGTCTTTAATGCACAACACTCCAGTTCTGATAGAAAGGACAGGGACCAGAATTTGTATCAATTCATTGATTCTCTTGTACGTTTGTATTATGTGTGTGTATATACAGTATATAGTTCACTTGTAGAAGTTGAAGATGTTGTGGAAGATTTTAGGGTCCCGGTCAAAGAAGAACTCGTTGCTCTGGACGATGTAGTCGTCACACAGGTCTAACTTCATGCTGTGGTCTGTGTACGTGGCCAACCGGCCGATCCTTGTCGTGGGGTACCTTGCAGCTAACCTGTAGGGCAAGTGATACAGCTGCAGAAGAGGAGAACAGAAAAGGATAAAGTGAAAAATAATATAGCTGAAAAAGAAAAGAATGGAAAGACAGTTTAAATAAAGCTGGGAACACACATAGAAAGCTTTTAAAATGCTAATCGAGGGTGAAAACACATTTAATAACCAACCTATGCAGATTACAATGTCAGATTGTCTAGATTCATACAATTCAAATAGGGGCTGTTTGATATCCTTGTAACTAGGACTGCAATGAACAGTTCATTTTATTCCGTATGTAGATAGTTCCTTCCAATAATCAAATCATTCGACAGTCGAAAATGTTGAGAAACGCCGTCACACATTGGCTGTCCCCAAAACGATTCAGTTTTCATATGAAACATGAGAAAAACTCCACATTTGATCATCGGTCTGATCATGACAGTGTTTACAATTTTTTGCTTGATTAATTCATTAGTCAGCTAATCGTGTTAGCAATAACTGTAGCACACACACACACACACACACACACACACACACACACACACACAGAGGAAACATTAGAAATAACTGCAGCTGTAACACACATTGCCAGTGGGCGGCTATTTCTTTATTTGCCTGTAGGAGGCGACACCCACATGTCTCCATCGTCAGGCCTAAACTGCTGTTCCTTTTCTTTCCTACAGGGGGTGCTGGTTGGCAGGCGCAGAACCGATCTGACAATGAGTGAACAGCTCCCCCTGGTGGACAGTCTGCAGCCTGCTAACTGACTGAGGGAGTTGGAAGCTAGCGAAAAAGGCGATATCAGTCTGGTTTTGATGTTTGTGGTAGAAGCTGAGTAAAGTTACCGTTCCTCCAACGTTGATATTGAGAGTGAAGTGTTTGGCTGGAGAGAGCAGCAGGCGGGAGGGAGACACTGGGAATCGACTCTCCTCTTCCTCATCTTCGTACTCAGCATAAAGATCATAGATGTCTCTGCTCAGATCCTTCACACGTAACACAAAATTAATTTTAGCATTTTTAGCCTTTATGCCAGATGAATGAGACAATATGAAGAAATGATTAAACTAAGCAGAACACAGTGGAAGAATACTTAAACGCACACACAAATATTGGAAATAGACAAAAGAAAATAACAACAAACAAATAATCTCTGGTTCCAGCTTCTCAAATGTGTAAATTTTTCTCAGTTTTCTATCATTTGTTATTGTGAATTGAATGTTATAGGGTTCTCAGAGTTGGTCAGGCAAAATCAGACCTTTGAGGATGTCAGCTTGGGCTCTGGATCATTAATCAATCATGAAAATAAGTAGGTGGCAAATATTTAAGAATCAATATCAGAGTTTTGTGAGCAGACATTTTTTCAAGTAAACTACATCTAACTCTGTTGAGGGTTTTACGCTCAGATTTCAAACCAAAAACCAGCAAAGCAGAAGAGCAACTTCAAAAAAAGACTCAAACTAATGAAGAACCACATAAAAGAAGGAAAAACATATCAAATAAGTGTCTGACCTGCATGGAGCTCCATGGTTTAACAAAGGTGTTGGTGAAGTCCAGATACTCGACCGGTTCTTTGGCAGCTTGAGTCCGGCTGCCGAGCTTGTAGCTGGGGAACAAACTCCTGCTACGGGCTCTGAGGTGGGTCAACATGGTCGCCACTGAACGGGTTTGAACCTTAAATCAGTTGACCTGCATGGAGAGACATCCTGGCACAAAAGCCTGGGTCACACACACATACGCAGGACGACGGCACAAATCAGTAAACATGCATGAAAGGATGGGAAATGTTTCCATTCAGACAGAAATCAGGTCAACATACCTACACTGGAGACACAGACACACACACACACACACACACACACACACAGAGTAATGAGGTAGGAAGTGACTCTCGTCATCTAATGCAGCTGACTGAGATGATCTGGGTGCTTAAAGTTTTAAATACTATTATCCTCTTTTATCCATCTCTTGATCTCTCTCTCTCTCTCCTCCCACTTACTCCAACATCTCGTAACTTTACGAATCCGGACGGGATAACTGAAGTCAAATTCATTTCTGTTTAATAATTTGGATTTTTTCCTACATTGTCTTGCAGACAGGTGACAAAATAAATGGAACAAGACCAAAAGTCTCCAGCTGTGCAGAGTGGTGCTTTGAGCTACACATGCTGATGTTCAGTAAGTATTGTTTGCCACACCTCCCATCTTAGTTGAGCGTGTTAGGGTGCTAACATCTGCGGAAAAAAAACACACACACACAGTACACTAAAGGTTGATGGGAATGTCAAAAAAAGTTATTAGCATACATCGTACAAAGTTTCATGCTAAATGATCCGTTTGTGGATTTATTCCCAGAATGAGCTGCACTGACTTAGAACCAACTGTTAAGGGTGACTTTTTTTTTTTCTCTACAGGACTTAAAGGACAGGTGTGTTGGATTTAGTGGCATCTAGTGGTGAAATTGCAGATTGCAACCAACTGAATACCACTCGCCAAGCAATCACTAAAGGCTTTATCTACAGCCAGTGTTTGGTTTGTCCAGAGAGCCTCCTAAATGTTACACACTGGACCTTTAAGGTTTTATTGATACGCGTTTAATCCTTAACCCTTAAGTACTGAAAAGATTTGGTGGATTATCAGGTCACATTAATTAATTAAATTAATAACATAATTACTTAAAGGTTGAGGTAAATTATTAACGTTAACATCAAGTTTGTCAACTTTTTAAATGTAGTAATAAAGTAATGATGTGTAAATTACAGATTTCCAGACATTGTGTTGAATACAGTGAGATTTCTTTTCAATAATGAATGGATAATCTGATATTGAACACTGTTCAGGTAACAATAGTGGAAAACCAGAAAGACACCTGCTGTGAAATGTGTATGTATTTAACATAGAACATACACAGACTGTGTTGGGATTTGGGAAGAGTGGGAGTTGGGGTATTTGGCCTCATTTAATTTGAATATGTTTAATATTTTGTGCAGACAGACTGCCTGACTCTTTCCTTTATGTAACTTAGACTTCCACATCTGACATCTCTGCCTTAATCCAAGTGTGTGTTACTTTGTCCCGCTGATAAGTCAACAGTCAGACAGGTAGTGATTAATCCTTGCTGCAGTTAAACAGGGATAATGAACGGATGGAGCCGGACTCGTTCCAAGTAAAACAACTTAACGGCGCTCCCACAGTCTCAACCCACTTCCTTTACTTCACGAACACGCTCCCTCCTGTTCGGCCGTCAGCTGATGCGATCAGGCCATGATGAGTCAGGAGTGGAGGTTATAGCGGAGATTAAACTGTGTGCTGGATGCACAGAGGAGGTAGAGGTTTCATGTTTCTCTGCCTCTATCCGCCTCTTGGAACAGGTCCTTGAGGATCAGGATGCATCAAGTTTGCAGTTTGAAATTTGCCTCTGACTCATCCTTCTTATCCTCATATTAAAATCTAAAACAAGTGATGTGAAAAATTCATCCTTGACTGTGGAACAGTGGTTAGTCTTTGGGCCTAAGAAGAATGTCAAGTCATTTCAAGTCAAAAGATTAATCACGAGTCACTGGAGTTTAAGTAGAGCTGCAAGTCTGTCTTTTTTTGTCAAGTCATGTCACCAGAAGCAGCACAACACAAAATGTCACTGTACTGAAGATCTAAAGCAACAAAACAAATGACACATGGCCGAAACGTGGACACCCAACTCTGCAGCCATTAATATGGCTGCAGAGATTTGTTCCCAGACACTAGCATTGGTGAGGTCCAGCACTGATGTTTGGTGATCAGGTCTGACTCACTACACTACATGCCCAATAAAATATTGTAATTTTTACTGTAGTGACCAGTTACTTTTCAGACGGATGTGTTCTTTTAATGTGTGTAGTTATGTATGTGTGGCTCTCTGTCTTCTTGTGCACCTCGCCCTGTGTTGTCCTTTTAATTGCTACTGCAGCAGAACAGATTGCCCCTCAGGGACAAATTAAGTTTTTGACCTTCTCAAATAGTTTTGTTTCTACCATTCAAGTTATCCAATATCTTGTGTAGCAGAACCATTTAGATTCTTTCTTCTACCATTTATCATCTCATGTCCCCCCCAGACCCCATGGTTGAGAACCAGTGGAAGAAATGACCCAACTACATATAAAGTGCATCAAATTAGCTCCCTGTTGACCAGCTCCAACAGTAACATACTACTGACCCACTGATGCATCAGTATTAACAATCTAATGAACTACATAATATAGATGAGCCACAAGGAACCTTTCTTGCAGAAATCTCTTTTGATATTTGAAAGCATTTTGTTGATAATACTTCTACTGAACACAAAGTAAATATACTTAATATACACCTTAAAGTAAAAGGACCTCCTCTGGGGGCATTGTCATGTTGAACATTGGTGTAGCAATATTTTGAATAGTGTGCTTTCAATAGCATTAAGACTTCCCTTCATTGGAAGCTACAGGACAACCCCCCCCCCACCCACACACGAGAAAAGACAGGAGGCTGTGCTTTTGAACAACGTTGTGGATTAGGTTTTAATTCTCAAGTGATTTGCAAATCAGTTTCTTCACAGATACAGAGCTTTTACATTTTAATAGAGTTCCCCCTCACTGTACAAGGCTAGAAAAAGTTCACAGCAACAGCACACAAACATACAAAATAGTTTTACCAAATTCAGTTGTGTAGGTTTGTTTTTTTTCTCCTTTTTTCAGCTTTTTCTTTCTTGTTAAATACATCTGAACTCTAACCCTGGTACGATGCCCAACCATAGCAAAAAATTGATTTCAAGTCAAATGTATACAATCTTATTTACACAAGGAACATTTGATCAAAGTGCATTGAAGAGAGTCCTGACTGACCGTCACGTCTTTGAGGGATGATGGGTAAATATATACAATGTTTACAAATGCTATAACTATGGTGATCCTTACACTGCTTCTATAATAATAACAGTAATAATAATAATAATAATAATAATAATAATGACTGAAAAAACTGCTTGTAAGAATGCATACCAAGAGGTACCATTGGAAAGAAAACAAAAATAAAAAAACACAAAAAATAAAAGAAAACTTGTATCTTAGATATTACTGCCCAAACCATGATAGTTCATAAATATTCACACATCTGAGCCTGTTGGATCAAAGGAGGCAAGAAACAATGATTGGACCAAGTTCCCCCCATGAAGGCCTCACTACTAAATGACCCCTCCCCACTCTGAATACGGTCAAACACTTAACACTTCAGATGCTGACAGGTCCGGCCCAGTTTTAAATCCTGTCCAGTAGAGTCGATCTGTTTGGCGTGAGAAACCGCATCCTCCGGTTCAGTTTGAACACAGAAAGCCCCGTAAGAGAAAGGAAATTCACTGCGTTTCTCATCTGTTCGAAAAGGTGGCGCTGGACTCCTTTAAGAAGGGACAGGAAGCTGTCTGAGGCCCGAAAATAATAAGGACCAAAATGAAAAAAAGGAATCCTGAACACTTTGGACGCACTGAGTGAAAACAGTTATGACACATAATTCATTGTAGTATTCACATAATAACTAACATTTCTTCCGGTCATCCTCTCCACACATAATGGACATAATGCACTTCGGAAGGCATGTGGTCGTACTGTAAGGGCTGCTGCTGCTACGGACAACCGTCGGCATGGCAACGAGGAGGCGCCACGCAACACTACGGGTTGCCGTACAAAAACAAAAAACAAAAAACAAAACCCAAGACGATCATGATAAATCGTCATCTGTGCTCACTATCGAAATCTGGAGACAGAGAGAGGGAGGGGGAGGAGAGAGAAAATGGATTCATTAAACGTTTGATTTCATTCTCAGCTCAACTAGGACAAATAAACAAATCAGAGGGACACAGAGCTACCAACATCTCTAGAAGTTAATCAATGAACAGGTTGCATTTTGTTTGTTTCATCTGCAAACAGAAGGAAGAGTAAAAACAATCTGTTAGGATGTCTGCTGCAGCTGTGAGGGCGACGCCAGAGGTTTGTGTCCATCTTGTGGCTCTGGCCGGGCTTAGGTTAATCTGTTTAATCTGCGTACACAGAGATGTGCTCTGTGGACGGCCAACAATGAACTAAGGATTACTGAAGGCCACAAGGTCAGGGTGACAGTGGCGGTCATTAACATGCAGTCACCACCCTCTGTCAGAATAAAATTACTCAAGCTGCACGGCTGCTCACAACATCTACCCCACCTGATTAATTTTTGTAAGCAAAGAAATACAAGAGCTCCTTTTATTATTCAAGAGCGTTTGTCATGACTTTACAGCTCTAAAATGTGTATTCTTTATGGTTATTGGGAGACGGGCGTTTTGAGATCGGTACATCCAGCAGAGGTCGTTTGCTGACCCTTCTTACCTACGATACCCTACGCTCGGAGGTTGTTTACTCACTGCAGGGTAGGTGTGTCCCACGTTGGCGCCGTGTCGGGTGATGTCGATGTTGAGGTCTTCTTCTGTGGTCTTTAGGTAGACGGGATTGTCAAAGTTCATGCTCTTCTGGTTCTTCAGCTGCCAGTTTCTCCACATCAGGTATCCGCCCGCTGCCGCCATCGCCAGCAGCACTGAGTAGAGGTAAAACATAAAAGATTAAAATGACAGTTGCATCTTAAGTTAGCAAAAGCTTGTTAACTAGCTAATCTACATTAATTGCTAGTTAAAAGCCTAGCACAAAGCCTAGCACAAAGCCTAGCACAGGAGTACAGGAAGCCAATAAAAAAAAAATATTACGTAAAAGGGAAGGAGCGACTTTGAGAGAGGTTCTGACAGAAGCTTTCTCAGCCCTATCCAAGAGCACAAATTACCATTTTATTATTAATTACTAATTAGTTTCATTACACACCAAAGAACAAAGATGACTTATTTGAGCTAAGTGAGCGAGTGAGTGAGTGAGTGAGTGAGTGAGTGAGTTCCACTCACAGACAGGCAGTATGGCCCAGGCAGCAGCAGACCCTCTGGCTGTGGAGTCCACCTGGATCGATGTGCTCACATTGGCTTCTGAAAGATGAAACAAAGCAAAAGGTCAAAACACAGAGACACACACAGCCAACAAAAATACAAAAACTTAGGTCATTTTCAAGACAATCCTCAGTTTGAGCAAGCACACTTAATTCAACATGCTGAAAAGGAAGAAAGTTTAGCCAGAAGTTGAGGCAGATATCTGCGACAGATACAGGCTGTCTAACGGACTGAGCAGCATGGAGGCCTGGGATTGAGCACAGTGGGGTTTGGAGGTTCAGGTAAATGTAAACAACTCAAAAGGAGGAGACAAAAAGGCAGAATCGGCAACTTAAAAACTCAATCTGCTACAAGAACATTTCCAAACGAACAGATGGGGTGAACGTAACACTTGCTCACGACATCGCAAAAGTTGACTGCCACTTCTCCAAATGCTTCTGTGTCATGGAGTCCCTGCCAGTGAAGAGAATCTGTTTGACATTTAAAGCTTAAAAAGAACATGAAAAATGCTCTGAATTTCTATTGTGGCATTATGCATTTGCACTGTATCAATGTTTTACTAAAATTTAAAACTGTGATAAAGGAAAAGGTTCAGGTAAACTTTGTTACAGCACTGTGTAAAGAATTGGTCCATTTTCCCCAGGGTCAACATTATCCAGTCTCAGGGTGTTCGTGCAGCAGGCCGGAGTGTTTTGGTGTCGGCGACGAGTGAGTGACATGACTGGCAAACAGCTCAGCTGAAAGCGGCGACGGAGATTTCAGGACAAAGAGACAAAAAACAGGGTTTGTTAACTCGAGTCCTTCCTGCCAGTCCGTCTGCTGCGCTGCCAAATGGCTTGGTGATGTCATCAGCATGCCTCTCAGCCACAGAGCAGCTCACCGGCCAAGTGCCAACAATATCAACTCCAGTTATATCATAAAAAGGTAAACCATTTGAAAATCCTTAATTATAGTATCAGGATTTCTACAGAGTTGTGTGTTACCCCTTTTTAACCAACAAATCCTACAAATAAAGATTCAATCATTTCCTGGCCACTGTATTTTTTACCCAACATGTCACAAACTGGAGGACACAGTGCATTTATTGGGGACTATTTTCAGGGGCAGACTACTACACATTTGGTGTGCATTGTGCATTTATGGCAGCAGGACAGTGTACAACTCCAGTGTGTGGTCATGGTAATGAACATGGTTCATTGATGGGTTTTTAAAATGGAGCTCTATGGCAAAGAGGAAGGAAATACTTGTTAGTGGGATACCTTCATTGTTGGTTTTGGTCTTTTCATAAGATTTATTGACACGAAACACGCATCGCCAGACTAAGCTTCAACATGTTTTAGTACCTGTTCATATAGTACATTGCAGACACTGTACTTTATCTACTTTGCACTATGTTCAACTGTTTCCTGAACATGTCAGAAGGCTTTTGGTTTCAATCCTTGTGTGTGCAGTAATACAACAATCACTAACTTGTGGAACTTGCACTGATTCTGACTGGTTTTGGTTGTTTTGATACACCTCTTTGTTTCTGCCACTAGGCGGTGCTCCTGGCCTGCACTTGCACAACTCTGCTCATGCAGAGTTTAATGCCGACTGTGGTTTGATATCCAGATAGTCCTCCTCACCAGCTAATTCTACAGTAACAGAGGAGAAGAGCATAAAAAAAAAAAAAACTTGGCAGGCATCTCAAGAACTGCATCACATGTCTAACAGGAGAAAGGAAGTGGACAGCTTTTACCAAATTACGGTTTAAATACAAAATCAAGGGTCCGGCTAAGTGAATAAAAGTCATGAGAACAAGTGCTGTGATTGAAACAAACAGGAAATCATCAGCTAACTGTCTGTGTGCCAAGTGTTGATAGGGTTATTTCTATGTGAAACGCACCGGCAGCATTTTTCTTTAGAAAGAAGTTCGCCAGCAAACACTTCATTCTAGCATGTTTACCAATCACATTTTAAACTCACAAGACTGAACAATGTGGCCAAATGCACACACAGCTATAGTCGAGCCAGAAATCTTACCGAAGACAGACGCAAAGCATGTGCATATATAGGTCTCAGCCAAACTAAATCCATTGTTAATAACAATCATAAAAAAACTTGTGCGATAATCGTGAATATCCTTACTTTGGTTGACTTGGAAAAGCTGTCTAGTTCGCTAACGTACAGTCCTTTATTGATGTGCTTATTCATTTTGAATTGCCACAAGGGGGAGACTGCATCTTTGCCATCTGTTGCCATGACTGACAGCTCAGCTTGCCCACTGTATCCCCTCCACCCAAAAAGTTCAACCAGATGTGTTGAAATACTATGGATTTCCCAACGACAGGGAGTTGAGGTGTCTATTGTGATGCCATAAGAAATGGTTTAACAAAATGTATGGTAAAGTAATTTCAGTGTCCAGTTAGAGTTTTAAGTGAAATTTTTGGGATTATGGGAATAATATCGTAAACCAAAATGATTGTCTCACGATAATCGTGACATAAAATTTCATCCCATGCCTAAAGGTAATCTATTATTGGAAAACAGCACACCAGTGGAACAAGAGTTTTAACAGCCACAGGATTTCAAATGTTGAACCAAAGTCAAAAGCTATGCTGAAGACGACATTATGTGCAGACACATTAATGTATTCAATAAAGGACTTCAAGAATAAGTGTAGTGTGCAGCCCAGGAGACAACTGGAATAGAATTACCCCTTGAATACCTCCAGTTACTGGACCATGTGTTACAAATTAAGTATAAACACATAATCACTTAAATCAGTTATCTGAAATGTACCAAAGGCAGGAACGCAGACAAAGCACAGACAGAAGCAGTCATTACAGACTTTACAGACAGATTACAGCTAAAACAGATAGATATTCAACCCCATGTCTTTACGTGGACACAAGAAGTGATTTTGGAATTGAATTTTGGCGATAGATTTTAGGCTGATTCAAGAGTACACAGGGGAAGAAGAAAGTCAAAAGCAGCCAAAAACAAGAGACAGATATTACCAAGTTTAACAATTAAAATGGAAAAACACCAAATTATGAACAAAGCCCAACGTGCTTTATAGCGAGTCACTGCCTCAGAGACGGGCAGCAGAGCAGGCGGCAGCTGATGGTTTTACCTGGGGATGGCTGTATTAGAGCTTTCCCATCATCCTTTGAGGAACCTTTGGTAGAAGGGTCTGTTACAGAGAGAGCCAAGAGTCATGCTTCTGACAACAAAAAACAAATCATCAGGCCACAGAAGCTGTTCTATTTTTAAACTGCACACATGCAAGTAGGCCTTCTTTGAAAATAGACCAGATCTCAGGAGACTAAACGCGTAAATAAACGCTCGACAGATGAAAGCGGGATATGCTTTTCTTCAGCGAGAAAGAAGCCAAGCCATCACAGCCATGACAACATCTACAATGTACAGAAACAGCAGCAACGTTACAATTCTTATGGTTTTCCTCCTTTCATATATTTAACATTCAAGCCAGATGCACACAAAAGGTAGGACAACATTCAGAAGCAATTTAACGGGTTTAAAGCAACATTATGCCCAGTAAACTGCATCGATCAGGAAGTCCCTAACAGCCTCTGTACAACCACGACAGACAGCTGCGGCAACAATAAAATCCTTACGGACTCATTAATACAGCCTTGATTAGCAGCGGCAGCACAGTTATCATAGGGGTGTTAGGTCTGCTGCGTAGGAGTTGGAAATTAATGCATTAAATCATGCTTACTGACAAACAATACAACATAAAGCACAGTCAAATTCAGACTAAAGCAGTTTCCAAAGGCTTTACCTGCAGCAGACTATACTTGCACTGATTGATGAATTTATTAGTTGATCATTAAGCAGACGTTAAAAGTACTCAATCGATTCAGCATTGCACTGCTTTGATCGCGATGGACACAGAGACATTGTCTTTTCTATACCACATAATTCTTCTTCCTTGAAACCTGGCGCCTACATACAATTCGAGCGAGTTATGCTTGAAGCGGCTAATGTAGGCTGGAGCCTCAAGCAGAGATGAGGAGCAGGCTACATAAGTCTGGTAAGCTCATTACTTTGTAAAGCCACATGCCCAGAATTTCTTTCATTTTCAAACTTGTAGTCTTCAGTCCCAACTGACGCAGACTTATCACTTGAGGAATCATCTTAGATTATTATACTGCACACTTCGAACTTTTTCATTCTTTACACACCCTACTTTTACCGCTTCATGTGTACAACCCAGAACAACATCATAGTTGCCTTCAATGAAAGACTGTCCACCATTATTAGGATTTGTACAATTCGTCACACAGAGAACAAAGACACTTAAAAGGAGATAAAGAAATCAGAGAGGCAGGCAAGATGCAGTGAAACACTTATTGTAAACAATTCCCATAAAAAACTTCACAGGGTACCTTCAAAAGTCCAATAAATCCAATAAGGGATTGGAACGGACTAGTATTTGATTAGCATATTAGATTTAGAACTGAGCTTGGAGAAAATATTGACAAAGCCCAACACTTACTGTGAAACATTCAATCTAAAACTGACTGTTCTGTGGACAGGTCGAACTAATGATGACTGGTATTTGAGGAGTGTTTGAGTGGAAATAAGTGGAGTCCCAAATCTTTCCTCTATTTCAGCCTGAGATTGTTCAGCCTGAAGGAAAACACTCCCCTGTTACCTCTAAAGGCTGTTATATGAACCCCTCAGTGGTAGTTTCGGGTTTAACTGTGAAGTGAAGAGCATTGCTTATTACTTTCTTTTGCTAACAAGATTAGAGCTGGTCAAAGCTGGAAGCACACAATGCTCTACAGTACCTATTCGTTTCAGCCGCAGCAGCTGTAAAATGGGATAAATATGTTAGCAGGAGGTTTAGTAAAAAGAGCAACAAGGCCTCTGGCTACAGCCCAACTAGGAGGAGAGTGGAGGAGCATTCAGCAAGTGACAGGCTTCCCTCTTTAACCACCGCCCACACTATTCTCACGTTTAAATAGTACCAGAAAGACACTCACACACTCACTGCTAGCATGCATTTTATCTCTGACACACTGCCCAATTTTATGCAGCTTGTGTGTCTTTATTCTTGCAAAAAGGGAAAAAACAGGTAAAAGCAACATGTAACATTTTGTATGGATTTGTTATTTTTGTGTGGAAAAACACAATGTTGCTGTAAAGTTGAACATCAGCTAACTCTGCAGCTCTACCTCATAATTCAGGTCAACACAGTGGGTGTTTTTGTTGATGACAGCTGAAAATGTTTTAAAAATGTAATCTTTTTACAGTTAAGTTATGACTTTTAATGCAGTAAATTCCTGCAGTGGTAAAACTAGAAAACGTAAGCTCAAGGTTGTAAATAAGTGCACAAAATTAGCTCTGCATAAAAGTCTGTACTAAAGAAGTGAAAAACTAAACTATTTTTTTTCTGGGTGAAAGACAAATATAGATAGATATAAATAAAAGATATAAATACAAGACATAACTATATAAACAGATATACAACATGAAATGGAAAACACCCAGATATAAATGAAGTATTACTGCAGAAAAAGATGCAAAAGGAGGACATGCTGACAGGAAATACTGGAAACAGTCTCCCAGTTCCCACTTGGAAACAGAAAAGTAAAGAAGAGAAAGACTAAAGAAAACTGAACAGGCTAACTAGGCAGGCGGACTTTCATTCAGGAGGGCGGAGGACGGTGGTACAGAGTTGTCAGGGAGATGTTTCAGTACTTTGTGAACACCAGTGTCTCGGTCTACAGTTTGAGTCCAATTAGGAGGGTATGTGCACTGAATTCAGCTGTCACGTTTCTATCCGACGATGGTTCAGTATGAAAAGGCTAATCTGTGGGAACGCAGAAAGGAGCTGCACGGCCCAAGACAAAAACAACTGGAACAGAGTGGATTAGAGAGAGGACAGTGTTTCCCAGCAGCATTTTTACAGCAAAGGAAAAGAGACTAATGGAGGGCAGGGCTGCAGTTTGAATTGGAAAAAAAACATTAATTTGATCAATCTAACATTGAAAGTAATATGATCAAACCAGTACTTTTTTCACCCGTTTGACCTGGGAGCTCAAGTTCTTTCCTGGTTATAAACTACACACAGTAAGCAAAATATATAGAATGAAGTGTTAAGTAGATTGAAAAAACAAACAAAAAAAAAAACATTTTCACCAGGAACTAGTGAATCTTACCAGAACTCATGTTCATATGAAGTTAATGGAAAGACATGAGCGGAGTTAAACAGATGCAAATTTGCTGGTGGGGTGAAGTGAAGACATTTCCATACAAACTGAAAATGTTTAATGTGTGTTTAATGCTAAATGTGACAGGAGCGGAAAAATCAGAAACTAGAGGAATAGGACTGGAAAACTGGAGTTCCTGCAAAGTTTGAAAACAAATGTGACACGTAGAGTTCCCCAACGTCTACATGCTCCCACTAGCTTATATTGTAGCATCTACATAATCTGATCAACCATAATTATGTAGTCGACAAAGATTTACATGATATCACCAAGTGACTATGGTCCCCATACAATCCCTAAGGAAGTGGAAACAAATGTATTGATCGCATGGGCCAAACTTGTATCCAGTTAATCAGGATGAAATTGAAATTGACTTCAACCCCAACCAAGAGCTTTGGGAAGACCTGGAACGCTACAGAGAGCACATCCCTGCAGCCAGGTCCCAAAATCTTATGGAGGGCAATCCCAGAATAGTGGAGGCTGTTACAGCGGCAGCATGGTTTTGGAAGGATATGTTTAACAAATCACATATGAATGTTCTGCCCCCGCAAATTCCACTGTCATGGCATTAACAGTCACATCCCAATTCATTAGTCCAGATAATTGAAGGCAGTTCAGACCAGGACTGAACCCAACAGGCAAACATGAAGCAGAGGACAGCACTGACCAGAGCCCAAGAACAACTGGAAGAAGAATCAACCCTGGAAACCCACACAAGCTGTCAGGATGAGAGGACAGAGACACTTTCAAAACAGAAGAGGGAGGAGACAGAGCTGCAGCTGAGATGTGAAGCAGGATGCCATTGAGTCTTGCCAAAGAGACACTGAAAAACTGGATCACAACACCAACTGACTCAGCTACTGTTCAGCTGTCAGACTGCTAACACAAACAGACAGCTGGGTTTGTGGCTGGCATGGATACAGATAGAAGACAAGATTCGCAGGGGAACACACTCACAGCAAGGAAACATGCTCGAGTGGTTGAGAAGGGAGGGAGTGACGAAACTCTTCTTTTCGCATCAAAGCCAGTTTAACCCAAAGATTTAGACTGAATTAATTTTGTTTCTTACAATTGAGTCTGTGTTTTGGGGGGGTATCCAGTGAAAGCTTCCTTTAACCCTTTCTTTTTAAGTCAGTTCTTTAAGAGGAGGCACGTTTGAGGCAAGCAGCACAGTAAAGGGAAGATGAAGCACAGGGGATGCACAGGATCACCTTTGTGTGTACAGTAATTCAAATGCACATTAGCGCTAACGAGAAGCTACAGGTTTACCATCCGTTGGGTGGTTTAACCCACCCAGTTTTGTGCACCAGTGTGGTTTGTGCTTTCCCATCTATACAATTACCAGTTTTCCCATGATGCCATCCACACTGGCCTGAAGGCATTGAGAGGCAAATTAAAATCATTCAGCTGGATTAGTGGAGTTTACCCCAGGGTGCCTTTAAGTTTCAAATTAAAACATTCTTCCTTTTCACCAAGTATAGTTTTGCTCTTATAAACTCACAATGTCATAATTCTCTATGGATTAATAATAGTCTAACTAAAAATGGTAAATTGACATAAAATCCACAAAGAAAACATATGTATACACACATATACAAGTCATATGTATATTGAGTAAGCGTCAAACTCTTTTCCCAATTAATTTCTAGACCTGGGCCTGCACTATTCTGAATTACATCAGTGCAGCAATTGTATTACTCCATTATTTCTCTTACCATGTTACTTTGCTCCCTGACATAGGGATATCCGATCACAATCATTTGAATCAGGGACGCATTTTTTAACTGATCTGTATCAGCTATATGTATAGCCTGATCTAATACTTTGTTTTATGTCAGCTGTCACACATGTTTTTACTCTCAAGCTTTAATGCAAACCAAGCAATGAGAGCAGCCGTCATCAACTCTCATCTCTCTGACTCTCCTACACACTGCTCACACATTTTCCCCTCAATAGATTGCAGAGCTATTCAATTGTCAAGCATATAAATTGGATTGATTTGAATAACTTAAATCTACTATCTAGGACTTCCCTAATCTGACAACATGTCTTTACACATTTAATTGTGCAGCAATTCAGTCTTCTAATTTGGTGATGCAAACTAGGAAGAAATTAGGAGAGCTTGTTTAAATGCAACAGATCTTCATATTAATGCAGCAGAATTGGCATCAGACTGAATAAAGGAATGACTCAATATTAAAACAATTAATTGTGCATCCCCACAGCCTCCATGCAGGATTCCAAAATGGTCTGTGTGACATCTTTACAAGCCCTGGGGCCTATTTCACAAAAGCAATTTGCAAGCCATGTTTGTGCACAGATTACAAACGCACAAATGTCACAAATAATTGTTGCTAGCAAATTGCAGATACATTTGTACATTGTGGGTCTCACATGCTCATGCATATGTTGCAAGTATGGCTTCTATTTATTTTGACACATTCTGTAAATAAAACAAGACAACTTGTATTGCACATGTGTGCTCTAGGTTTGGGTGTAAACATTAAATCAGTGAAACACAAAAACATAATAACTGTTAGCATAATAAATGCTTTGACTCACCGGGTCTGCAGCGTAAGCCGTCAGCAGCCAGCTCCTGTCCCTCAGGACACACACAGGTGTACTTGGGGGAGTGTTTGTTGATTTGCGGCGCAGGCAGACACATGTAGCTACAGCCTCCGTTTACACCTTTCTCTGCGCACCAGTTAGTACCTGCACAGAAAAGTCAACAGTTCTGATTACTTAGACAAACATAAAACCTGCTAATTAAAACCACACTGAGCAATATTTAACTTATTAACACTGAATCAATCAAATACCACATAGGATTAAGCCAGTGCTGGAAGAGGCCGATATCTCATATCACCTTCTCCACCAACCTCTTCTGCTCTGTCAGATACATTTACTTTGTAGAACTTCTCATGTGTTTGCTAAAACACTGAACTTTCAAGCACAACTTATTAAACTCCAAATGTTGATAACTAGTAAGCAGACAAGATTGTTTTGTCTGTTACATTGGTATCACCTATTGGCTCCTTCCTTCAATAAATCTCAAATTATATCTCTAAATGATGTCAGTGGCCATTAGACCTGTGTCAATTATGACTGCATGATTACAGCTAAAAAAATGATCATTATCATTAGTACTCCCTGTACCTGAATCATGTGTAATTACAGTAATTTCTGATTAACTCTCTCTTCATTAAGTCAATGCAGCAGCTACTGTACCAAAAAAAAACAAAACAAAAAAAACTTGAGGTTGCTGTGATGTCACTGAGCCTGCAGGACTCAGATGAACAACATTTTCCACCTCAACAACCATTAATGTATGTCCATTCCTCCTGCCTCTCCCAGCAGACTCTTACCCGACAGCTGGATCAGCTCGTGGTACACTATGATGTCTTGGGGGTCATTCAGGTTGCTGGCCAGCGTCACCACGTCAGAGCCGGTGAACTTGTTTGCGCCGTAGATGGCTTTATTTTCACCATCTGTCCAGAAGACTCGATCCTGGAGAGAGGAAAGAAAATTCTAGCTCATTTTAATAACTATAATGCTGACACAGCTGTTTCAGAGGCCATTCAGCAAAGAAAGGAAAACTATCAGGTTGTTACACTTATTTTGGCTTTAATGATTATCTTTGGTTAGTTGGCACCATAAGCCCTGCCCTCCATTGTTGCCATGGTTACCTTCAGTAGACAACTGCCAGCTAATCAGAAACAAGAATTTCAGTGGATATGGTATTAATATTTATATATTGTAAATACAATAATCCTCATCACTACAATCAATTCTTTCTTCAGCAACAGAGACTTTTACAGAAATCTTTTAAAAGTTTAAAAAATGCATGCAAGATATTTGATTATTTTCTTCAGTCAGATGTTCAGAAGATTTTCCCTCACAAATGGGTGCATAAGGACTTGTAGAATATAAATACTGTGCAAAATGGGGATGCAGAGATTCTACATCACAAATTCAACCATCTGTGTTCCTAAGACCATCTGTGTGGCGTTCCTGTACAGCACTTTGGAGGGGGCCACCTTTCAATCACATTCACGTCTCTCCTTGGATTTTCTGGTCGCTCTCTGCTTAGGTTTTCTCAGCCTTGGCATCTTTAATTGCTCATGTTAACATGTTTATCCCTAAAAACACTGAACTTCTTGTGCAGCTGAGGATTGTTCCTATGAGGGAACTACAAGACTGCAAGAGATCAGAGCAGTGAACAGGACTGGACAGGTTTGATCACACTTCTATCAGCTCGGAAAAAGCAGCAAAATGTCAACTGTTACTAATTGTTATGGTTACTATAAGAAGTGTTAGTGCATGCAGTTTAATTGAAATCACTTTGTTAAAATCGTGCATCAATGTTCAGATATGAGCTGTACCTCAAGCACAGTGCCTGCCTGTGAATAAATGTGTCATCTGTCTGAGTGAGAGTGAGTGGGTGGGTGTAGGTGAGTTAGAGAGACAGCCGGAGAGCCTCATGCCCATGGTTCTATGATTCAGAAAGATGTCAAAGACACAGTACTGATATATGAAGAATGCAGCCTATATACGCAGATATAATTGTTAGTACAAATATATATCGTTACATTAGCACAATATGATGCAGAGTAAAGGTTTGGACTTTTGAGTCCAATTTCTTTACTGGGTTTTCTTGCACCCTCAATTTCCTTTTACTTATTTTTGAACCAGAAACTGAAATATTTTCACTACATACATACACCATGTCTCACATACATGGTTCGTCTTGACAGCAAAAAAATACACATATTGGACAATTGAGTAAATGCAAAAGACACAATGAACATGTACACTATGGCTTGATTTGCATTTGCTAGGCAACCACCCACGAGAATGCAAATTCTTTAGTATTGTGTAGTACAGTACCAACGCTCATCAAAAAAGTTTGCCTTCCTAATTTTAACGAGATTAAGAATGAAAAGAAAGTACAACCAATCCGAGCCTAAAAATATTTCTTCTAGGTGCAGTGGGTTCTTGTAAATGTCATTAGGAGCACTAGGAGGAGCCAGATGAACTTGATTTTCCATCTCATGTACTACTGTCAGGATATAGTCAACGTTTCAGCAAATATGACAAAAACGTTTATTCTTTCATAAAAGTTACCTACTGCAGCTTTAGAGAACTTGCAATCCTAGTACCTTATTGCATCTTAAACACTACAATAGGTGTTGGCTTTTGGCCTGTGCCACACCACTAAATACAACGTGTATAATGTTATCTCCAGACTGTCAACACCAAGTGACACAGACAAGGCCAAATCAGTGATATAATCAGATAAACAATCACAACACATCTACCACCTTAACTGTCAGAGAGAATATAACAGCAGCTGTACCTCAAAGACAGTGAGAGCGAAGGGATGAGCCAGGTAGTCTGGAGACTGCAGTACTTTCTTTCTGTTGTCTCCGTTCAGGTCGACGCTACAGAGCATGTGGAGCTTAGAGTCAACCCAGTACAACCTGCCTTTGATCAGATCTGGGAAGAAGATGAAGGGTATGAAAAAACAATAGAGGAGAAGGTGAGAAACGATAGGGAGGTGGGGATGGGAGAAATAACAGGAGGATGGATTATAAGCGGGGGAAAAGACGATACAGTGCAGAAAAAGACAGGAGGGAAGGAATAATTTATCAAGGTGAGTGACAAAAAGAAAGGAGTGGTACATGGGTGAAGACCAGATGAACATTAAATAAAAGGGTGTTTACACAGGACACAAAACCAGGGAGTTGAATGAAGAATACAGGGATGAAAGAAGAAGAGTAAAGAAAGAAGATGAGGCATGGCGGGCAGAGATAGGGAGAATAGAAGAGGGAAAAAAAAAAAATCAATACAACATTTCATTAACAAGGACAGATCGATGGTTTTTCCAATGTTGAGGATGCAAGTACAGGAAGAGAAAGAAGGCTAAATAAAGGAGAACACTGGATTATATGATCTGGTCGGGTGTTAGATTAAAAAAAGAACCCACTTATTATTTAGATATCCACCAGTAATGTTCATTGTATTCCAGGAGTGGAGTTGTTTCAGTGACACAAGGTTTTAATGAACACCTGGGGGAGATGCAGTGTCCATTCTTTTTAAACTTAGTAATTTTTAAATAAAAAAAAAAAAAAAATGCACTGAGCAGGAGTTATAAAAGAGGTTGAAGCATTTAAAAGAAGTTCATGTGGCAGTTTGGAACAGAAGCACTGAAAAAAATATGGCTTACAAATTAGATCTAAGCACTAAACTGTCGAGCTAGGGTTTGGCCATATGACCTAAAAATACAATTACACCAGATTAACAATGTGAATTGATTTTTTTCCTCAAAAACAAAAAAAGACACCATATGTTTGCCGATGTGAAAAATCTCAGGATCTGTAATGTCGTATCACTGAGGCCACTTTCACGCATATGGAATGTGGCTTTTAAGCCCAAGCAGCTGTATAGCACTGCAATATAACATTTGTGGGGTTTTTTTGTTTTGTAAATTCAAATTAATCAGTTAATCAGTCAGCTAAGGTGAAAGTGCTTAAAGCGGTTGAAGAGTCGATTAAGGGGTTAAACCCTGCAAGTATAAGCACTGAAAGACATTGAAGTGAAGTTAAAACAGATGCAGTAAATAAAATTGTGGCAGATGGAATTTAAACACTGCAAGCAGCTGTCAATGTCAGTAAAAGTCTAACTGCTGAAAATCAGCGTACATGTCCAGGGTGCAAAAATCCTTTAGACATAAAAAAATCTAGAAGATTATAGATTTACCATTTATCTGGTACAGAATTTTCCAAAAAGGACCTCCTGATTTTACCTCTGGCATTTGTAATTCATAAGACCACAGGCTGAAATAGACTGCACATTTCAAACTGTAAACAACACCACAACCTGCTTGAGGGATTACTTTTCCAGAATGCCTTTTGACCACCCAGAGAATTTATACAGTCAGCCACATTTATAAATGTGGCTGACTGTATAAATGACTTATTACCAGATGTTGGGTTGAGTCTGGCCACAAATCAGTGTAGCGTCATTAATTCATACATGCTCTTGTTCCTAATCTGTGGGAACTGAAATGTATGAAATATTGCTAATTCTGTCTTCAGTGATAAAAATACACAAAACTAAAATGAAACAAAAGCAGGCGACCCCACCAGCAGCAGTGTTAGTTGTTGGGTGGATCAGCAGTGAGATGAATGTGCAGTAATGATGTGGACATACTGTAGATTATTAATTTAAGTCAAGTCAAGACTGTGTGTGTGTGTGTGTGTGTGTGTGTCGGTGTGTTCCTACCCAGGGTGATTCCATTAGGCCACTGGATGTCTGACGCCACCAGAACCTGTCTGTCCACCCCGTTCATACCAGATTTCTCAATCTTGGCCGGCTCGCCCCAGTCAGACCAATACAGAAACCTACAGGACACACATACACACGCATAAAAACAAATCTGTGAATTTACGTGTCAGTTGGAGATAAAAGGTTTTCACCTGACATCGAAAGAAGCTTTCCACCCACCCAGACAGCGGATCCACAGCAATGGATGCTGGTTCTTTGAGGCCTCTGTTGAACAGAACCTTCTGTTTGGTCCCGTTGAAGTTGGCTACAGAAATGATTTTGGTGCCGAGATCAGACCAGTACAAGTTCTTATAGATCCAGTCCACAGCGATTCCCACAGGAGTCTGGACGTTGTCTATCACTTTGTTGTGTGTGCCGACTTCCCCTCGTTTGTCCAGCACAGTGCTGCGAGGAAAAAAAAACAGACAGTGTGACTACAATTTGAAGATTCAAAGCGGTTTAAAAGTTTGGGTCAGTTTTGGCGGTATTTGGCAAGTAAAATTTGACTTGATGATGGTGCTCGTTGAAAAAAAATCCGAGGATCACCAAACTCATAAATGGATGTGTGCAGACATCCATCTAAAGTTATCTAGAGTTATTTTATGGGTTGTGGGAAAACTTTAACCTGCTTTTCGTTTTAAAGGAAAGGTCTGAAAAGTCACCTGCCTCTGGGCACAATGAATGTTAGTTCCAAATTTCATCTTAACCCATCTTATAGTAGGAACAAAGTAGTGGACCAACTACCTGACCAACAAAATATCAAAACTGCTATCCGGAGAGCCACACTACTAGTGTGGCTACAAATGGCCTTGGATGCACTTTTAAAAAACAACCCACACTGAACATTATTTCAGTGTAAACAGGTTTTAATACTGACAATTATGTATGTTTCACATAAAAATCTAGTCGAGCAAACTTGAATGCAACTGTAGATCATCAGCCATCAAACCAGATGTATCTTTGTAAATGTGGGGACTTTGTTGTGTTCCTTCACCTGCTTGTGTGTGTATTTGGTGTGTGTAAACTACCTATAAATGGCCTTCTGGCCCAGGTCAGCCCAGAAAATCATCTGCTGGTTAAAGTCTGCATCCAGAGCCACTGTGTTCCTCTGCTGCTCTACAATCTGAGTGTACTCCTTTCTCTCCAGACCCAGGCGACGGATGTCGCGGCGGTTAGTGAAGATGAGGCAGGGCTCCTTACCTGAGGACAGAACACACTCGGTTAAATAAGAGAAAAGAAAGAAGAAGTCAATCTGACAACTCTTCATAATGTACCCTCATGTTCTGTTCCACTTGCTAATGCTTGAGACTTTCACACCTTTTAGACTTAAAGAATCTGATTGAATGGTCTATGTTTCAAACATGTTATAGAGTGGGGGCTCTTCTTTTATATTTGATTCCATCATATTCAGTAACCCAGTGACCAATTTGCTAGTAGCATATAATCAGAAACTATTAAGATTTGGACTATTCTGGTATGATAGAAGAGTAATTATGACAAATAAGGGTTAATAGGATCTGATGACAAATCATTTGGAACACTGAGGCTGAAGGATACAATGATGTCTTTGTCAACAAGCAACACAATAAAGTCTTTTTACTGCAGAAACACTCATACAGCATGTGATCACCAGACTAGAGGATGACATCATCTCTAGCTGAAAGTCAACTTCAGAGTCTTCCTGATGATATCTGAGAGCTGTCATTTAATGACAACCACACAAGATATTGGAGTTTAATTTCTGCAACTTGAGATTCTGAGCTTCTCTCACTGAGGACGTGTGAGTGTTTGTTCACTTTACACATTTAAATTGAGCTGAAAATACCTACCGCAATTTATACTTTACTCATTTCTGACCAACACTGGAAATAAACCTTAGAGAGAAAAATAGACTTTGGGAGCTTGTGATCTCTATGGCAGTGCATTGTCAGACAGAACAGTTTTAAATGTGCATTCATTTACTAAGACAAACCATTGATTTTTGGTTAATTTGGTCATTTCCCAGGACTTGTTCATGCCTTGAAATGTGCATCATACACTCAGTTAGCAGTTTAGTAACTTCACCTATCCCAAACTAAATCAGTCTAATACAACAGCTGTGAGAAATGCTACATTGGTGAAGGTTTTTGTTGGAAACAGCACCAAAAATGAAACTGTTGCAGTCAGTCTGGTGTGGCTCACTGCAGGGTGCTCAAACATATATCTGTACTATATAACTCTAGTCCACCTTGAGAGTTTTCTTGAGCTTAAATCAAGTTAAAAATCCTTTTGGCGGTTGTGTAAGGCTGAGAGGTGTAGAGGTGCAGTTGTTTTTCAGTTGTTGACTCACCAACAGCTTTGCAGACTCCGGTGGTCGGATCCATCTGGTAGCCGTTGTGGCATTCACACTTGTATCCTCCCTTCAGGTTGATGCAGATCTGACTGCAGATGCCAGGGTTCAGACACTCATTGATGTCTGTGCATAGAGAGACCGAGATGAAGAGAAGGGGAGGTGAGGAAGAGAAAACAGAGGGAATACAGCTGGTATCTGACATGTTTAATTAATCATGTCTGCTGAATGCTTCAGTTGGGGTAATCAGACGTTTGCACACGGCTCTGCTACAAAATCTATTGAAATCCTGTCTAGACCCAGTCTTTTTTAATCAAATTACACTTTTTTCAAAACAATTACTTTTCTGAAACATTCCCATGATTCCTATTGCATGAGATTGTACACTGATGTGAGCTTGGGATGCACAAAATGAAAATTAAACCCAACTATAATTGCTGCTGATGTTTTGCCAGAACACTCTTTAGCAAAAAGCTGCTCTCATCAGAATTAAATGGAAATACAAATGTTTTCAGGACTTTAGTGGTTATTTTACACTCGGGAGTAGATTAAGCGCCTCTGTGCAACCAGTGGGGTTCATTCCAGATGGGATTACACACATTTCCCAATATCCAGAGCGGTGTTTGAGGCCAAGATTGGCTCAATAACAACTGTGTCAGATCAGTGCCTCCTGAAAATAGAAAATCCAATCACATTACACACTAAACCGTTCAGAGGCCAGAAGAGCACAATGAGAACGTGCATCAGCCTTAAGCGAAATATCTCTAAGTCCCAACACCAGTATACAGTATGTCTGACCCAGCCTGTTGCATTATAGGTTTCTAAGAAAGACAAAAATAGTCAAAAATCTTCAGACTGACAGTCTCTCTGCATGGTTTGAAAAGCAAACACCAAGACCAGAAAGACAACGTGCCAGTAGGACATTCCTTATTGTGGATTCATTTTGATTGAAAAGTAGTTCAGACAGAAATTTCTGCTTCAAACATCACTCAAACAATTGAGGTGCACTGCGGCCAAGAAACAAAAGCATGTCAGAAAACTACTGAGTGGTGGTGTTTGGTTTTAGGTTTTTTTTTTTCAAAACACTGAATGGCATCAGAGTCTTAAAAATACGGTAATACTGAAAATATTGCAGATGTTTAGCTTTCACTAAAACTGATTAAACCAAGTTCATGCCGATAATCATCAACATGAAGGAAAGAGAACAAACAAAGAAGGTGTGGAGTTAAAATAAAAACATTTCATTTTTTTTCCTCCATGGATGTGACATATTCTACAGAGACAGGCAATGTCAGTATGGCTATAAACGGATCCTTTTCACTGTATTTTTGCTGGGAAACACCAGCATGCTTTGGGTATGGTTTGACGCTAGGTGCATGAGAAAAGACTGTTCGCAAGAGAACAACAATGGCAGTTGCCAAAGAGGTTAGCGTAGATGCTGCTAGCATCAGTTATGTCAGAACAGGAGTGTATTTCTTCACTGAAACGAAAGCAAAAAACGGCACTGAAGGTTTTTCACTCTTCTCCAGACTGACTTCAGTAAGAGTTTGACTATGTTATATGGCACGTTCATCTGATAGGTTGAAGTCTGCTTGCGATAGATGTTGATAGACAGAGAGTTCTTCCAATCACCTGCCCAGTATTATTTGAAAGTTCTTGCCCTTTTCCAATGAGAGCCTCCCAAATGGTTCTGTGTGACCACAGTTAGCTTGAGGTCTTTATGGCTCAGCTCAGTTCCTAGTAACTGAGACCTGACCACAGATCCAATTATATTCAGTCTAATCATTTCAGGTCCTGTCCTGGGTGAACATGCAGGGCTTCATCAACATCAGAGGAGATAAATGCAAATAGGGAGTGTGAACTGTAAAGTGAAGGAAAAATGGCATGTATTGCTGCTCTTTTCAACTGCTCTTTAATTGGTGGAGCATCACTCACGCTGCTGCCGGTGCTCTGTCTGTGTGGACCCTCTATTCAGACCAGATCTAACTGTCCTCAGGCCCTTTTTGGAGTGGGCATCTTACGTTTTCAAAATAATTAATATATCCCTGTTGGGTTCAGGGAGGTTTTCCTTGGGTCCATTTCAAAATTTTGGATGTCCCAAAATGATGCCTGAGAAATGGCTTCATCCATTGGTAAAGTCTGTGGCAAGTTATGAAGTAATGTTGACCTCTTTTTTTTAACATTGAAGCTACCTACCTCCACAGGTCTTGTGGTCTATGAGCTGAAGTCCAGGTGTGCAGTCACACTCAAAGCCAATCACCATGTCTTTGCAGATGTGAGAGCAGCCGCCGTTGTTCAGGAGACACTCGTTTAGATCTGAAGCACATGAAGAACAGCTTTGCTATAATATCTTAGAACAGTTATCATGCAAGCGAGCCACAAACTGTAGATACCATTTAAAATAGTAATTCTGTTGCACTGAATCAGTTAAAACCTATAAAACACAACATCTGAGATTTCTGGTTTTATCCAGACATCAATGGTTTAGTCAAGAGGCCACAAAAGAGGGGTGGTACAAAGACACAGTCTGGATTCAAACTGATGCTGTTGAAGAAGTCGGGGTTAGGGTCCAATAAACATAATTTAACCCTGAAGTATTATAAAAAGGTGACATTTTCTGATGCCTTTTGTGTGCTGTAAGATTAAACAGCGTTAAGGATGTTAGCAGGTGTTAGTAATCCTGATCAGATGTATTTTAAAGTTACACAGCAAAGATTAAAGAGCATTTATTGTTGCATTTGAGTAAATCATTTCTCAACAAGGCAACTCCTTTTGGCTGCTTGGATTAGTTATCTCTTTCTTTCAGTCATTAGACTCATTATACAGAGCTCATGACCTTAGGAAAGGGCTGGAGAGAAATCTAAAAAAATGCGCATTTCTATATTTTGTTATCTAAAACTGCCCGGGTATGAAGGAAAAGAGGCAGAAAAAGACCCAAAAGTTAAATCTGCTCTTGGACACAACAAATATCGTAGCTCAGGAAGCAAAGTGCACCCCAATGTTAAATATGATGAGATACAAACAAAGTTTAAAATAATTCAACTCAGAGTGGTCTAGTTAAAAAGAACAAGTCTTTAACTTTTGACAAGATAGCAGCAAGTTCTTTTATTGGAGAATTTACAAAAGATACACTGTTTCACTTTGTACTGCCTGCTAAAACCTTCTACTCACCATGTTCTTTGATAAAAAAATGCAAGTTCCCTTCTCTCACTTCAACAGAACAGACAGTGCTTATTTAGCTCATCTCCATTTGTACAACACTACATTTAAAAAAAAATAATGTTCAGATCTTTTGGGTTGATCCATTAAATTCATCATATACATGAAATGATACTTCTTCTCTGACTAACTGTACTTGTAGTACAATTCAGAGTCAGACGTTTAGTATTCCGATTGTGGAAAGCGTAATTGCTTTTGGCTGAATTCTTTGATCAATGACAGAATTTTTTAGAAGCAGCTCTCTCGCGTTGAACTGCAGACGCATAAAAGCTGCAAGAGGGGCGAGGAATGTAAAAATCCACACACCATCAGCCTAAATCTATGTGCAACAGAGAGGAACATCATCTCATGGACACTCCCCTGCCCAAAGGAAAAGACATCTGAACCTACAGAAAAGCAATGTGTCTGCTGAACAGTGCCTGAGAGACCTGTCTAAATGTTGGAGCTTCTTTATTGTTGGATTTGGTGTAGAGCATCAGTGCACAGACCCAGCATTCTGGAAAATCAAGCTCAGATATTTCCAGTTTCATGTTGCTGACATTTAGAGCTGCCAGCTGGGGAAGCACTACACTTTTTAACAAGTGACATTTGCAGATTACAGTAGACAAACACACTGTGGGTTGATCAGAGCTCAAACTACAAGATCATTCATATTCACACAGATTCTAGTGCAAATGTGCACATGTAATATGAATATACAAAAATCAAACATGTTGTTTAATCCTTGTGTGTTCTGTGGCTCAGTTAGGAGAACTGTGGCAATATTTTAATAATCTTCTTAAGCGTCATCTCCATCTGTCTTAAAACAAATCTTTCCTGCAAAGGCACACCACTGTACACCTCTTCAGTTATTACCTCAGACAGTATCCTAATTCATTTACTGTGCCCAGAAAATCACCACTAAGTGGCTTTCAGGCACTAAACCTGGCAACCTCACTGTGACTACAGGTCTTACAGGAAGCTGCACACAGTCACTGCTTCAGACTTCTTGCCAAAAAATAGTTCCAGCATGTATAGCAGGTAAATGTATACCTGTGGGGACAGAAAATGGCCATAGAGTGGGATGTTTTCCCCAGGAGGACAACCTTTGGTTTTAAGTTAAAACAAATGAGTGTGCTGCATCCCAATGATGTTTGTATAGATGAACTATCAGCACATTTTCCATTTCCACATAAACTGAATATTCTATAACATCTAAAACACTGTAAAAAAAAAAAATTAAGGAAATTTATCTTTCACAGAGCAGACGTAAATCTTTTGAATCGAAAGAAAATCATCACGGACAAATATACAGCGTTTCTGGATTGAGCTCTATTAGTAGTAAAAGATACCATTATAAAGATAACTTTTGAAGATAATATTCTTTTACTCACTGCATTCTTTAATGGGTTCGTCACTCCAGTCGGGACAGTCTCGAACCTTGTTGCACACTTTGCTCATCTCAATACACTCCCCGCTGCGACACTTGAACTTCTCTGGCCCGTTACACTGAGTCACTGTGGAGAAATTCAAAGAATTTTAAATGTCAAGGGCAGTCGCTGCTTACACACAACATTCTTTAGTATTTACATACAATACCTTCCTTGGAAATCCAATTACACAGCAAGCTACCAATGCATCATTGCATATCAGGATGTAACCTCTTTTACAGTTGTTGTCCTGTCTTTGAACTAAACTAAAGTTAAGTGCCTCCTGGATCTATCTCCGTACTTGGTGCAAAGACATGAGTAGCACTCCACAAGAACTTTAAACGTGCGAGAAAACAAGATAACAAAAGGTAACTAAAAAAAAAAAAAAATGTATAGCTACACTACATGTATTCAGATTTTGGAAAGGTTGGAAACAGTCTTTCAAGGATCAACTGATCCTTCACTGAAGTCACCAAAAAAGGTAGCTGCATCTTTAAAAACAACAATCTTTCAGCTGCGACAATCTGACACAAACTTGTCACTCTTCAGTGTGCTTTCAAAGCCATGTTTTATACCACAAGAGCAAAAACAAACATGGAAACAAGGGAGTTTTTGTTTTTTTTGGTTCTCTTTGGTACATTCATCCTCTTGATGAGCACACAAAAATAGAATGCATTAGGACACCCTGAAGTGGACTGTGACAGCATTAGATTGCTGAGAAAAAAGCCTTCTAAACACTTTGCTCCGGTACCTGAGCACAACCTGAGGGGATTCTGTTGAAAAACACAACTGGAAAAAGTGTAAAGACCATTTACATGCCCACAGCATCTACACCGACACACACCCACAGCTTCTGAACCTCAGGACAGCCTGAGGTGGAATATAAAAAAAAACAAAAAAAACAAGAAAAATCATGCTTCTTCCGGCATGGCCCTCCGGGTTATTAAAACAGTCATTTGTTAAGCTACACACACAAACACACACATACTGTTTTTGCAGTTGACTTCGTCTGATCCGTCGGTGCAGTCTCTGAAGCTGTTACACTGTCTGCTGCCCAGGATACAGTTTCCATCATCACATTTGAACTGATCCGGTCCACAGGTCCGTACAGCTGCCAACACACACACACATATCAATTTTAATATTCAGTTCAAATCTAAATCATTAAGCCCTTTATCAATTTAAAAAAGCCAAACATTCTCTGGTTCCAGCTTCTCAGGTGTGAGGATTTGCTGCTTTCCTCCGTTTTAGGTAATTCATAAATGAATGCTTTGGGTTTTGGACTGTTGGTTAGCTGACACTTAAAGTGGATAAGTGAAGATATATTATAAAGTAATTAATGTCAAATTAATGGAATCAGAGTGCAGCACATAATGGATCACTGCACCCACCGTATTTTTTGCAACTGAAAACATTTCCGAATGAAATCTGTATCTTTATGCGTTTCATCTGATTTACAACAAATCCTGTGAACATTACAATACTGGACACTTGCATGTGAAGGATACAGAAGTTAATCTGCTTTTATTTTTCCATTCTATACATTTGATTTCAGGGAAACATCACATCCCAAAACTCATCTCAAATAATCACAGAATCCTTCACTGACTCATTCAGTTATCTTAGCATTGAGTATTATCACTAAACAGGATACATATTGCTAATAAAACGGATACTAAACACACTTACAATAAAGAACTGTTTAAAAACTCAGATCATTCTGCCGTGGAAATAAAAAAAAAAAAAAATCCATGTGGTTATGATCTTAAAATGCTCCATTTCCAATGTGTTAGAGACAGCTGGTGTGTACATACGACAGTTGGCTTCATCACTGCTGTCCTTGCAGTCAGGGTCTCCATCACACCTCCACTTCTTGTGAATACACTCTCCTGAACGGCACTGCATCTCGCTGGATGAACACTTGGCTGGTGGCGTCGGGTGACGGCCGCAACGAGACGGAGACTCATCTGACTGGTCCTGAAGGGGACAGAGACAAGATGGTTCAGAGGGAAAGAGGATTTTATCATGCCTTGCCTGACTTATGGCTCCAAGATTTCTTGCTTTTGATGGGAAATGGATAGCTGTAATCTTAACGATAATTTGACCATATAGATGAGAATGATTCTCCACTGTGTTTTAGCCAACATTCAGTTTGTGAAAGATTTTCCATTTGCTGTTCACTTCCTGCCATCAACATTTGCTCTCTTTGAGCCATTTCCTAGCAGGGAGCCTTCAATTTAACTGAAGACTTTTACAGACCAGTTAGAAAGAAAAGTTTTGTCTAGTATAATTTAATATAATATAATTTAATCTAGAAATTTGTTGGACAGAACATAATTATAAAATACACACATTTAAAAAAAAACAGTGACAGAGTAAGAGTAGGACTAACACTCTGTAAAACCCCTATTTCTTGTTTTTACACTTAAATGTTTTTTACATATGAAACAAATGTTATACAGGGTGTTAATTAGTGAGCTTCAGAAGTGATGGTAGGTGAACTTTGTTACCTTTGGACAGAGCGAGGCTAGCAGTTTCCCTGTTTCCAGGTCTTTATACTAAGCTAACCAAACCAACTGTAGCTACTTATTCACCATAAAGATATAAACAATGCTATCAATCTTCTCACCTAAATCTTGGCAAGAAAGCAAATAAGCACATTTCCAAAGACATTGAAAAAACTATTCCTTCGTTTTTGTCAACTTGGTAATTTTCAGGATTTTTCCCACTGATTCCCCAATTTTCAAGCACTTCCCTTCTAGACATTTGGGAAACAAGAATCCAGCAAGAATGACAAAAAAGTTAATTTAACACATCATCTCAAACACAAAGTAATTTACTGGAAATCCCTGTAGCTGTTGTACAAGCTCCATAGCAGGTTGTAGAACAATCAGCCACATCTAGAGTCCATGGACAGCATCATAATGGTAGTTGATCAAAACTATGGGATGTATAGCTTATCAGTTTATTTCTGAAATTAGCAAATGGGCAGACACGTACCACGTCCAAATCTAAGAAACCAGCATGGTAAGACAGACCAGTTGACCATGAAGTGGATCTACTGTGCTACAGTATGTAGTCCGGTAAAACAACTACACATTTCCAGGGGGACTACAAGGGAGATGGAGTTAAACTTTACATCCAGGTTGTTCCTTTAAACTATTCAAGGACTTTGTAATACAATATCAGACATTTTAAGAGTTTCCCAGGCTTTGCACAGACAGCCACTGAAGGGAAGAGCAAACGTCACCAACAGAGGACCCAAACAAAGACACGCCATGGCCCACCCATGTTGTTTGATTGACAGGTGATCTGGGGGAGTGCAGGGCAGAGAGCTTTTAGGACTCAGATCTCACTGATGATTACCACTTTAATTAGAACTTAAACTGGGCGCTCAGACGGAATGGGATCAAGAGGAAGAGCAGGAAGTGTTTCTCACACTTTCATCAGCTCAGAAAGTCACTGACTCATGTGGGAGCAGATTAATGGAATGTGAGAACGTGTGTGTGTGTGTGTGTGTGTGTGTGTGTGTGTGTGTGTGTGTGTGTGTGTGTGTGTGTGTGTGTGTGTGTGTGTGTGTGTGTGTGTGTGTGTGTGTAGCTCCGTAACTGTTCACACTGACGCAGGACCAACTGCGTGTGAAAGGGAAGAACAATGACCTTCCCATTGAATGCTGCGTTTTAAAATATTTGTGGGTGTGAGCGCTTGCATCAGTTTCTTCATTTCCCTGCGAGGCGGTCACAGTGATAACCACACAGCCAATTAACAGCTCCCCAGCAAATCGCAGACTCAGTGGAACTTGTCCTGCCATGTGTGAAAAACGTGTTACGAGTGTCAAAGTCTCTGTGTGTGTGTGTGTGTGTGTGTGTGTGTGTGTGTGTGTGTGTGTGTGTGTGTGTGTGTGTGTGTGTGTGTGTGAGAGAGAGAGAGTGTGTGTGAGAGAGTGTGTGTGTGTGTGTGTGTGAGAGAGTGTGTGAGAGGCAGGTCAATAACCACAGGGTGTTGGGAAGATTTAACTTGCAGAACCAGTGTGTGCGTGCCCCAGGGAGATAATACAGGGCAGTTCATTATAGCGAGGCAAAATCTACTTAGAATATGAGAGGGAGTGCGTTTGTGGGTTTGTGTGTGCTGCCATGTGGGAAAAATCCCAACCAGATACTTTGAACTAGTATCTTCCTTGAAGTCCTACGGAACATCTTTTGGTATTTTATGTCATAAAATATAACTTTGACATTGAAACTCATTGTATTCTAAAAAGTAATGTATAATCTCTGTTGGGCATTTTTGTCTCTCTGCACATTTTTTAATTTTTTGTGTAATTCAAGTTAAAATCATTTCAAATAAATGAAAAACAAAAACTCAGAAAAGGAATGAAGTACAGAGTAAAGCAGTGAGGCTCAAGAGGGGGCAGATGATCTGCGGAATTTAGCTTCAACTCTAAATTCTACAGATATGGTTTCATATATTCAGAGAAAGCTTTTAAGAAAAACTTATAGCAATTTATCATGAATTACATGTTTGTTCTTCCTTTCTGTCACCACAATTTAAGCCTTAACCTTAAACTGAACCCTCTGCAAGAGGATACACTTGTCATGGCTAATTTTGCTGAAGTCTTTTGAGTCCAGACTTAAGACTAGAGGGGGCAGGGTTTTTATTGTCAAGACCCAGGAGCGCTAAAAAGATCTGCCCAAATTATTGACTTTTAAAACTTCTTAATAAAACATTTTATCACACTTTTCTTAAAGTAAAAGTTGCTTACATATCCCCTCTGAGAACTAGATTATTTGTAACTGGAGCAGTCTTTCAGCAGTGCTGAATAGCTTCTTTTGCATCTAGTTTAATAAATGTACCAGCATTTCAGAAAGAAGATAAAAGTGTGTCATTAACAGCCAGGACTGGATGGGGTTTAAATGCATTTTCCAAAGTTCTGATGAGTTTAAAGATTTTTATTCTGTAATGACTTATGTTTGGGCAATTTTTAAACATAAATCAGAATGTCTTAAGGGTTACTAATAACATCTTGAGGTTTTCATTTAAAAAGGTGCAGTACTTTGATTCAGTGTACTGTGTGTTAGACATGGATTGCTGCAATTCAGTGTATGCCCATCAGTGACTTCCACTCCTACATACATCTTCTTTCCAGTGTAGTGTAATCCGTAGTTACTGTCAACCATCCAATCAAACTGCCATTAAGAATTGTATGATTGAAACAAAAAGGGCATGGATACGACCATATCCAGGCCAAATTTCTGCTTCTATCACCGTCCTCTGATGGTGCAAGAATGCAATCTTTTAATTAGTGTTGTTCACAACTTGCAACTTGTAATCTGCTCTGAGTGTGTGTATATCTGACTTATCGTGTATGTGGTCTTTAATTGTGTTGGTTACCTGGCAGTCGACGTCGTCATCGCACACCCAGCTCGCCGGGATGCACGATGAGTTTCCACACTGGAACTCACTGGGACCGCAGGACGACGGAGCACACTCCACCTCATCAGAGCCGTCGCCACAGTCGTCCTCACCGTTGCACACAAAGTTCCGGGAGATGCAGCGTCCACTGGCGCATGTGAACTCGTTTGGAGCACAGGTGATGTTGCCTGGAGGCAATAGGGAGGGGAGGAAGAGAATGAGAGAGTGCTGTCAGGGGGTTAACAACTCATTAGCTAATTTAAAATAAAAAAACCCAACCATTTATCAACACACACACACACAGGATCATCACACAGGCCACTTTCATTATACGATAACATTTCTATGCTGTTTCACAAGAGTTAGTGTCACTCTCCAAATGGCAGGCAGGTCATCTGGAAACTGCACTCTTCATACTGATGAGGACACATATTTGGGTGCATCTACAGCTCAGGCCTTTAGCTGCTGATGCTGCTCATCGAGTTTTTGAGTGATGTCCTGGGTGTGCTTGTGTAGTACACAACTGAACCACTATATTTCCTAGTTGAGGTTTCTTTTTCCGATTCAGGAGTTTTTTTTTTTGTTTTGGTTTTTTTAACCAGGAACGCCGAACTGCTGCTAACGTTAGCTCAGCTTGTTTCTCTGATAACTTAAGATCCAGATCCTGATAACTAGAATCCTTCATCTGGTTAAAATGTATAGCTAAAAACAACCAAGACCTAAAAGTGTATGGTAAAAAAGGTGGCTTAAAACTGGATAAAAAGACAATTTATGACTTATGGCTTCTGTCAGACAACCACAATGCATGTGCAACAAGGATATGACACCATTGACAGGCAACCGGTGAAACGCACCATTACCTGAATAAGATGTAAAGATTGCTTTGGGTATGAACATTGTTGAAAACATTTGGGATAATGCAAGTACACAACTCAACATACAGATTTATTATTATTATTTAGCTGAAATGTCACATGTTATCTCTCTATGGTGCATAAAATCAAGTAAATTACCAACATTTGGAGTAGAATGGGTTGGTGGTTGCTCAGTGATGTGATGCTGTCAGAGGATGCCTATTTCAGATAAGTCAGTGTGTCACATTTCTGCCTGACTAGATGTGTTGTACAAGTTTAAGTGCTGTTAGTAAGAAGTGGAAATGTCAACAGCTCAGCCATGAAGGGGGACTGCTGAAGCAAGTACAAATCACTTGTCTCTAGCCAGACACCTGATTTTAGTGAGGTGGAAATCATCCTAAGAGGATCGTTTTGAGGTTTGTTTAAGTGGGAAAAGTAGATGTACTATTAATTGTTTACTCACCAAATTCAATAAGATATGGACACCTTGTTAAGCATATTCTAAAGGAGGTATTTGCTTTTATTCCAGAGTAACAGCTAATTGCACCTATGGTGGGGTTGGAATGTTATTCATTTTATCATGAATTTTAGATATGCCTTTATTTATAATTTGGTGACCAATGTGTGCACTTTGTAACTTTTTAACACTTGTATGTTACTGAAAGTCTGTCACTTTTGATTTATTTTTTTCCCCAAACACAGAGTTGCAAATAGCCTGGGGAAGGAAACAATAACCGTTCATCAGAAGCTTCATAGCGTGCGTTTGCATGGCCTAGCAGCAGCACTCAGATCACCATGCACCGTTCCAAACTCTGGTTGCATAATGTGAAGCACACTTAAGTTAAATGGTGAAGGAGTTGAAATGTGCCCATATACTTTTGAATGTAGCCCTTTTGCAACGCTGCACAAATAATTGTCATAACAGGCATATCGAGACCATGACTGTAACATGTCTGTATGTTTTCTACACTAGTGCTGGTAGGAGGGAGTGGGGGTTGAACATGACTGAAGGACGCGACTGGAGGATGACAGAATGGATGAGGTCAGTCATAAGATTTTGATTTGTGTTGGCCTGTGGCAGCTCACTTTAAGAGGTATCTGGGGTCACTGCCTTAAAAAGTGCATTGCATCACGCAGCAGTAAAACATCCTGCTACAGTCCAAGGACAACAGGGGTGTAGGTTTAATGTAAGCAAACAGGACAATTGACAAATGTCTCCTCCACTAAGGCAGCTCATTTCTCTGACTACGGTGATCTGCTGCTGTAGTATTGGTTAAAATATATACACTGATGGACAAATACACTATATACACATCTATCTGCACTGTTGTCAGCAGGGAGTAGCTGCTAGTACTCACTGTCATGTTATTTATGGATTTTTTTTAATTCTAGTTTAAATTTCCTCAATTTAATAATGTATACATCTCATCTAGTTTGGGAATGCCTCAGGTTTCCCCAGGAGGAGCTGAAAAACATTGCAGGGGAGAGGGAGGTCTGGAAAACCTTGCTCAACCTGCTGCCACCAACCCAGATAAGCAGCAGAAAATGGATAGATGGATGAAATTTACCAGCATGCAAACAGCCTGCTTCAGCGTTTTCTGTCAGATCCAATTATTTTAGTTTATAGTTTATCCAGGCAGAGCTTCATGCTCTGTGCAAAAAGCCGTTGGTGTGTTTATGCTGCACAGTATTTACTGTAGGATAACCAGCGGGAGGAGGAGAAGTAATTGATACACATATCCATGAAACTGTTTCAGTGCTTGAAAAAGTACAAGTCATTGGCTGTTACACTAAAGTGGTACTTGAATCCCTTCAGAGAAATTGCATCATTGCACTTTCTAAAGTAATAACAGTCTTGTGTATTGTGCAAAAAGTTGTCTGCACAATATGAATCAGGCAGAAGTGTATAGAGCACAACTGAATCAGGGGCTACAGGGAAGTTGGGTTGCTACAATGCATCCGTTTCTGTATTTAAATTCAGAGACCGCATCCAATGAAGTCTGCTTTTTAGAAACAAAGTCCAAGCCTTCCCCAAAAGCAGCCTAGAAATGTGGCCTTATTTTGCAGCTCTCTGTATCCCATAATCCATGGTACTAATAAGCAGGTTAATTGTTTACAGATGCGTTCAGGCGATTATAAACTCAAGGTCAGAAAGTATCTTTTGACCACATCATGGGTTATCATAGGCCTTCAAATGATCATCATTCACAAATGCATGACATGAACTGGACAAGTGAAAAAGCCACAGCAGGATGTGAATAATGGGAGGCAGGCATAAATTCCACTGGCTGTCCCTGAAAGCAACTTTGACATGTTAGTTCCAGGGCATTCCAGATACAAAGTTAGATGGACATAAACTGCAAATATAAAGTGACACAACCCTTACTGTAAACATGGATAATTATGGGCTTTCCTACTGCATTTGACATTTTGTCATTTTGCAGCAAATGCCTGGTAATAAACCCCGAAATTTGACTTCACAGTGACAAAAACTAAGAGGGCCTTTAGGTCCTCCTCAACTTTAAAGTTGGGCCATTTGGGGAGAAGGCAAAGGTTCAGCCTGGCCTCTGGGTCCTCTGAAACTACAGTATATGTCCAACACATGTACTGTACATGTAATTAAGTAGGATAAAAATGCTTCTGCCTGCAGTTAACACTGTTCTTTTCAACAAAAACATTTAATACTACCTACTCACTTCCTGTGCTACATGACTACAAAAATCAACATAAGTGTTTAAAGTTCCCCTCCAGTCAAAAATGTTTCTTGGTTTCAACTTATACTAGTTAGATATAGAAACTTGAAGCCACTAGTGCACTGAGAATGGACTTAGAAGTAGGAAACATCATCTGTCCAGCAGGAAAACTTTAGAAATAAAAAACATTTCCACATTCATAGATTCTGGATTTATGACGTAGAAGGAGTAGATGACTTTAAGGATTTTAATGTAGACACTGATCTTTAATCGCTACTCCTGGAATTAACTAAATGTTGTGTACTGTAACTAAAAATGATCGTTCTATATGCTGAGGCAAATATCCCTCCCATGTTAACGTGTGCATGACCACCTACCACAGTTGACTTCGTCCTCTCCACTGTCACAGTCCTTCTCTCCGTCACATTTCCAGAAGAAGGGGATACACTGATTGGAGCCCACTCCGCAGCTAAACTGATTCACACGACACGTCCTCATGTCTGCGTGGACAAAAAACACAAAAATTGATCATTGTTTCATTGTTGTTCTGTTTTCTATGAAAGCTCACCTTTCGCTGTTGCTTTGGGCAAAAGGAAACCCATTTAAGAGACACATTATTTAATGACATAGGAGAGTGTAAAATGGACTGTGTTGGAGCCAAAAAAAAAAAAAAAAAAAAAAGTTAATTGCCACCAACCAGGTTAATCTTTGCCAGGAATTAATCACTCAAATACACATAGCTTTACAAACCTTACAGCCTCCTCTACATCGTTTTGTGCAAGATGTCCATCAGACTGCTGCTGAGAAACCACTTTATTCTAAGTTTAAAGTACAAACTTTAAACTTATTGCAAAATAACTTTTGATTCCAAACCACATCAGAGTGAACAGTCATGAAAATCTACATGACTCTTTGATCTGGTCATTGTAAACCCATACACAAACTGTTTATGCATAAACCTTTAACCCCGGTTTGTAACTACACTATATCTAAGAAAACAGTGGGATGTTGAGACGTCACTGAACATCCAAGGAGATGATAAGACTCATCGTCGCACCACACTCAGGAATGTGTAGCTGTGTCTCAAAACAGGGATAAAAGGGACATGGCCTCTTTGATTTGTCACCTCATTTGAGCCTTTACTTACCACTGTATGTGACTGCTGCAAGTCCATTCATTGATGACTGAATAAACCTTACAGTAAGACAAAATCCTACATTGTATGCTTCATTTAAAGAATAGCCACCACAGAACAGACTGCCCTGTAGCAAACGGTTTAAAAAAAAAAAAAAAAGGTGTGTACTGCCTCTCTGATCCTCTGATTTTATTTCAAAAGGACAGTTTATCTGCATATTTGGAACTTCAAGGACACGGTCAAGCCTTTAGCTCTCATCACCAATTCAGATTTCCTGCTGAGGTCAAGCTTGGAATTTTCTGTTCATAAGCATCACACAGTTAACCTTTTAGGTACGTTTCTCAAGTGCATGCGGAGTATGCAAAAAGAAGCAAAAACAAAAATGTTCAAGCATTCCCACGTATAGGGCCATCACACAGCAGCAGTGGCTCTACTTGTTGCCTTTTGAGGGCGTCTTCCCCATGAAATCAGGTCCAAAAATAACCACGTCACAGCAAAACAGAATTTATGTTGGAAATAGTGACCAACTTTTGGCAGATTAATGGTGATGTTGAGCTACCAGTTCAGAATAAAGATGTTTAACTGACGTCTAATGCTGAACATTATGTCCTCACTTGAATGCCCAGAAAATCTGAAAAGTGCAAGCTGTTACATAATCCAGTCTGCTGGATAAACAGCTGATGTCAGGAAACTGTATTTATTCAACAACGCCTTGGTTTCTTTCAGATAAACAGTGCAAATACTGTGCACATACTAGATAATCATTTAAATATATTTTTGTCAGAACAGATTGCCATCAGATAAGCTTTTGTGTTCACACGTGAGGGTTTTATTTTAGTGATATTACCAGTTTATTTTCTTTATAAAAGTTAGTTATAGTTCAATACCATGCATATTTTATTGATAAAAAAATAAATAAATTATAAAGAAATATAATTTGTCCTTAGGTTACACCCCAAGTTGACTCAACATTAATTTTCCCCAAACAGCACTTGTTACCACAGACATTTCAGTTTCAAGGCCTTTTTTTCCTCTTATCTGTGATCTTCCATTGTGGAAGCCATAACCAGCAGTGTTGGACATAAAACAGACTGTACTGTGATAAGGGCTGCTCATTGAAGCAGTAGATGCTAATGTGATACCTGAGTTTCAGTACCAACACTATAAACACCTTAATACTTTTTCCATTTAACAAAATAAACATTACTACCTAAGGCATCAATGTTAAATAAAATATAATTCAAATATCTCTCTCGATATAGATATATAGGCAGAAAAGTTGACAGTTCGGTTGCCATGGCGCTGCTGCGAGTGGCAGCCCTTTCAGCAGCTCCTAGTGTGCAGTGATCTTTTGACTTTTTATCATTTTTATTGATGTTTTTGCTTTTTTATATTCACATTTGTGCCTTGTCACATCTGATCAACTTCTATCCAATAGATATGGATATTTATTTACCCAAACTCGTTTATTCGAGAAAACAACTTCTCACGCTGAAGACAACGCCATTGTTGTTATTGTTTATATTCCACCATGTGCTGACGCGGTAGTCGCGTGTGACGTCATCCACTCCGCTGTAGCAGGACTACAAACACAGCACCCCGAGGCTCTGGTGTTAATCTCTGGGGACTTTAATCACGTGACTCTGGACACAACACTACCTGCTTTCTTCCAGTATGAACTGTTACACCAGGGGAAATAGGACTATTGACCTACTGTATGCAAACGTTAAGGACGCATACAGCGCCACCCCTCTGCCTGCACTGGGGAAAGCTGATCACAATCTGATTCTGCTTCAGCCTCAATATAAACCAAGAGTGAAGAGACAACAATGTGCTCATTCAGGAAGTGGTCTTTTGAGGCAGAGCAGGCTCTAAGACTGTTTTGGTAGTACGGACTGGGATGTACTGCAGGGTTCGCACTGTGAGGACATCGAGGAGGCTGTTGACTGTACCACTGACTACATCAACTTCTGTATGGATGTTGTTGTTCCTGTAAGAACTGTGCGCTGCTATGCAAACAACAAGCCCTGGATTACAAGTCATGTCAAGGGCCTTCTTAACCAGAAGAAGAGGGCCTTTAAAGAAGGAGATCAGCAGGAGCTTAGAGGTACAGAGGGAACTCAGAGTCCAGCTCAGAGAAGCGAAGGAGCAGTGCAGAAGGAAGCTGGAGCAGAAACTGCAGATCAACAGCATGCAAGAGGTGTGGGATGGGATGAAGATCATCACCGGCAGCAGCTCAAAGCGGGGGGCCCACATGGAGGGAGATACAGAAAGAGCAAACCTGATGAACCAATTCTTCAGCAGGTTCGACCACCCCATCCCGTTAACGCCTCAGGTCACCATACCCCCTTCTGCTGCTGTCTCTCTCTCGCTCCCCTCCCCTCCCCTCCCCTCCCCTCCCCTCCCCTCAGGAGCCACAGAGGAGCTGGTTGTCCCACCCACTATTACAGCAGCCCAGGTGTGTGGCGAGCTAATGAGGCTTCGTCCCAGCAAAGCAGCTGGTCCAGAGGGAATATCCCCTCGACTTTTGAAGGCCTGTGCGTTGGAGCTGGGACTCCCCCTACAGCACATCTTCAACCTGAGCTTGGAACAGGGGAGGGTCCCTAGACAGTGGAAGACATCCTGCATCATCCCAATCCCAAATAAACCACATCCTGGTGAGCTAAATGACTTCAGACCGGTCGCCCTGACATCACATGTGATGAAGACCATGGAACGGCTGCTGCTACACCACCTGAGGCCACAGGTCCTCCACGCCCTTGACCCACTGCAGTTTGCCTACCAGGAGAAGGTGGGAGTAGGAGATGCCATTGTGTACCTGATGCACAGATCCCTTTCTCACCTGGATAGGGGAAACGGTGCTGTGAGAATTACATTTCTGGACTTTTCCAGCGCCTTTAATACCATCCAGCCTCGACTTCTGCAATACAAACTAGCAGACATGGGAGTAGACTCACATCTGGTGGCATGGATAATGGACTACCTAACAGACAGACCCAAGTATGTGCGACTGAGGGACTGCAGGTCTGACACTGTGGTCAGTAGCACGGGAGCGCCGCAAGGGACCGTGCTCTCTCCGGTCCTGTTCACCCTGTACACGTCAGACAAATATAACTCAGTCCTGTCACGTGCAAAAGTTCGCAGATGACACGGCTATTGTGGGCTGTATCAGGAATGACCAGGAGGAGGAGTACAGGAAACTCATTCAGGACTTTGTCACATGGTGTGACTCCAACCACCTGCGCATTAACACCACCAAAACCAAGGAGATGGTGGTGGACCTCAGAAGGCCCAGGGCTCACCCGGAACCTGTGACCATCAACGGTGAGGAGTTGGTACAGACATACAAATACCTGGGAGTACACCCGGATGATAGGCTGGACCGGACTGCCAACACAGACGCCCTGTGCAGAAGAGGTCAGAGCCGGTTATACTTCCTCAGAAGGCTGGCGTCCTTCAACATCTGCAAAAAACTGCTGCAGATATTCTATCAGACTGTTGTGGCGAGCGCCCTCTTCTATGCAGTAGTGTGCTGGGGAGGCAGCATTAAGAAGAAGGATGCCTCCCGTCTGGACAAACTGGTGAGGAAGGCGGGCTCTGTGTTGGGCACAGAGCTGGACAGACATCTGTGGCAGAGCAAAGGGCGCTGAACAGGCTCCTGTCAATCATGGACAATCCACTGCACCATCTACAGGCAGAGGAGCAGCTTCAGCAACAGGCTGCTGTCACTGTCCTGTTCCACTGAAAGACTGAAGAGATCGTTCCTCCCCCACGCCATCAGGCTCTTCAACTCCACCCAGGGGAGGAAAACTCTAAACTCCAATATGTCTGCCCTTTAGTTAACTATACCAACTGACGCAGTGCACCCTGCATTATGTGACCACTGACTGACTGACTGACACTACTTATGCACCTTAGGCCTTTCAGGCACTGGATTTGACCATGCACCTTAGGACACTAGCCCCATGCTCGTTATTTAGCTATTTATTCTACTTTATTCTATTATTAGTTCTTCTAAATTGGCCTCCTCCTCTTATTATTATTAGTTTGTGGATACTGCTGGAAACTGAATTTCCCCTTGGGGGGGTCGGTCGGTCGGTCCTCTAACAACATTACAATGCACCAGTAACAAGCAGGGAAGATGACTGCTAGCCAATGTAAACGTGGATGTAAATAATGCACATTTCAAAATATGAGAAATCTAATTTGAAAATGTATTATAAAAAAGGGCAGAGATTAATTCAACACATTTGTTACACTTAAAAAATACTGAAGCCCTATGAAAGCTAACATTTATTTGATAAATGATAGAGTTTTCTCAGTCCCTTAAAAGTTGACACTGAAGACAAATATTATCACCTGACA